GCGATCTCATACGTGGTGAAAGGAGGCGAGTCGAGGACGGAGGTGAAGTTGTACGTGCGCACGTCGCTCGCGGTGTCGCGTCGCGCGTGCACCTCCGTCATCATGGATCAGTTAGTTGCAGCCGTTCTGGGACGTCCGAAATCTGGACGCGGACGATCGTGTCACGGTTCTCGAGGTCTCGAGGTTCTCGAGGTGGATATCCTTTGGCCGCTTGACATGCTCCATGCACACACCTCTAGCTCGATTTGGTCCTGTAGCAGCGCACTCTCTCTCCCTCTCGCCGCTAGCCCACGCTCCCCCACCCACGCACGCGTCCTCGCACCCCCTCCCTCGCCCGCTCGCAGCACACACGCTGCCGCACACTCAGCCTTGGTCCACCTCCATCGCCGCGTCGAACTCGCTCCACGGGAAAGAAACACATCACGATAGGGTGAGATAGAAGCTACTTACTCGATCGAGTAGAGAGAGAGCTAGAGACTCGAGTACGAGGAGAGTTCGGCGCGCGCCCCGGGATGTGGCCTCGTGAGTCGTGTGCCGTGCCGGCTGCCATGCCGCCGCGCGCGCGTATACCGTGAGTCAGGCACACACTCACAGAGAGAGAGAGAGAATTCTTGATACGAAACCACGACGACACACACCAGTCGACTCGCATCGGTTGCCTCCATGAACGGCGGAGCTATTCTCGCGCCCACACCACACCTGGCTCCAACGTGGACACGCCCATAGCTGGGGACACTACTAGGTCACGCATGGCATCACAGAAGTTTTATCTCTGGGCCCCGAAAGGCATCTCTAGCAGTGTCGTTACACATGCCCCCTCCCCTCCTGGGCGCATGCGCCTCACGTCTCGCCAGAGCATAAGCCCTTGGCGTGTGGCGAGACGAGTTTTTCGCCATCGCAGCGAGCAGCAAGCCGCCCGCCGCAAACAGCCGGAGGCCTCGCCGCGGCACTGGCTGCGCCGCGGTCCCGCACCCGTCGACGCAGCTCCCCCCGCGGAAGACCGCGCGTAGCAACGTCTTGACGATCGAGATGAGCGTGCCTGAAGCTCGCCCACCTACTGCCCCTGAGAGTTGGTTATTGAGTGGGATCAGCTCCCCCCCTTGGGATCGAAGCCGCCACAACCTCACACCCAACATCCCAGGCGGGATCAGAAGGGGACTCCACACCGGACACCGCCCGGGCACAGCCCCCCTACCCGTCGGATCGCACAGAGGGCCCCCTCGGAGCAGCCCACACACAATCACGCATCGGCAGATTGAGTGCCTGAGTCAGGCAGACAGCACAGACAAGAGGAGAGAGAGGAGAGAGAGAGAGAGAGAGAGGAGAGAGGAGAGGGTGAGGGTGTGAACACACGTGAGGAGTGGGGGAGGGTGTCTGTGGTGGGCTGTAGTCCTACTACGCACACTAATGCGGCACCGGCGCGCCCGCCGTGCTCCACAAAATTCTTCCAGCTTCTTCACCCTGTTACTTCGACAGCCTGCACGATGCTCTCCCGCGTCTCCAAGGGCCTGGCGCGGCCCGGCTCGCGCCTGTTGAGCGGCGCGGCAGGCAGCGAGAAGCTGGCGATGGTCGGCAGCGGCAACTTCGGCTCCGCGCTCGTGCGCATCCTCGGCCAGAACGCACTGCGCCACGACATCTTTGACAATGAGGCGCCCAACCACGCCCCCCGCGACGCAGCCGCCGCGCCGCGCCGCTCGCTCTGTGCGCGGCCGCGGTAGCCGAGGCGTCGGTCCGCCTCTCCCTGCGCCGCAGGTCAAGCTGTACGTGTACGAGGAGATGATTGATGGCAAGCCGCTCACCGAGATTATTAACGAGACCAACGAGAACGTCAAGTACCTCAAGGGGGCCAAGTTCACGCCGAACGTGAAGGCGGTGCCCGACCTGGCCGAGGCGGTCAAGGGCGCGACGATGGTCTGCTTCTGCCTGCCGCACCAGTTCCTCAAGCCGCTCATGCCCACCATCAAGGAGTCGGTGGCGCCGGGCGCAAAGGTGCTGTCCGCGATCAAGGGCATCGACTTTGACGACAATGGCGCGACCCCAGCCCTCGCCGCCCGCCACCCTCGCCCGGCCGCCCGACCGCTCCACCGCGCGCACACCGGCGGCTCGCTGCGCCTCTCCCTCCGCCACCTTGTGTGTGGCGGGAGTCACGCCCCCCTCCTCCGCCTGCGCCGCCACGCCTGCGCTGCCACTGCCTCTCTTCCACCCACCCCGCCACCGCCCTCCACCTCGTGGCTCCACTCCCACGTCTCCCTCGCGCTCGAGCGGCGCTTCGGCCATGCGGCCGGCCGGGTCGCGCAGCTGTCGGCGCTGCTGCTGATTGCGTGCCACTGGAGCGGCTGCCTGTGGTGGCTGGTCGGCACGACGGGGTGCAACATCTTCGACGACGACCCCGCCGCGTGCGATGACGGGTGGGGTCCGAGCTCCGAGCTGCAGGCCGCGGGACTGCGGGACAAGTACGCGGTCGCCTTCCTGTGGGGCGCCTCCCTCATGACCTGCCTCGTCCCCTTCGACGTCGAGCCGACCACCACCGGCCAGGTCGAGGCACAGCCGAGAGGTGGCCGAGAGGCGGCCGAGAGGCGGCCGAGAGGCACAGCCGAGAGGTGGCCGAGAGGCGGCCGAGAGGCACAGCCGAGAGGCGGCCGAGAGGCGGCCGAGAGGCACAGCCGAGAGGCGGCCGAGAGGCGGCCGAGAGGCACAGCCGAGAGGCGGCCGAGAGGCGGCCGAGAGGCACAGCCGAGAGGTGGCCGAGAGGCGGCTGAGAGGCACAGCCGAGAGGTTGGCCGAGGCTCGAGTAGTTCAGCTGTGCGCCGCCGACGGCCCTCTCTCCCTCTCTCCCTCTCTCTCTCTCTCTCCGGCACAGGTCGCCCTCACCGTCGGAGGACTCTTCGTCGGCCTCTTCATCAACATTGTCACCATCGCCGCGGCGACCGCAGCCCTGCAGACGCTCGACGCCAAGCGCGGCCACGTCCTCAAGCGGCTCGAGCTCATCCAAAGCTTCCTCGCGCGCAGCGACGTGCCCGAGGGTCTGCAGCGGCAGGTGCTCGACTTCTTCACCTACCGGCTCTCCTCGTCGCAGCAGGCCATGCACGAGATCGGCTCCGACCTGGCCGGGCTCCCGCGCGAGCTCTCGCTGCGCCTGACGATGGCGCTCTACGGCGACCTCCTCCAGCACTGCCCCTTCTTCCGCCCGCTCTCCTCGTCGGCGGTGGTGGCGCTCGTGCAGCAGCTGCAGCCGATGGTCTGCATGCCCGGCCAGCTGCTCGTGGAG